CAGCGCTGGAAAAAGGTAAGTTTTTACCCCTTTCCCCTTCCAGAGCCGGGCGGGAGGGGGTCCCTGAGGGTGGGGGCACCCTCAGGGCACTATAGTGCCAGGAAAACGAGTATGTTTTCCTGGCACTATAGTGGTCCTTTAAATCTGAATTTTCACTTAATTGAATAACCATGTTTTTGGTCCAGCCTACACACCAGCATATTCCAGTCTTTGTGCACTATTAACGGGTTGGCACCTTTCTTGACTTTAATTTTTGGTATTGACATTTGAAGGTTTTTTTTTTTCCCCTCACTGCAGACTTGATGTAAAACCTAAAAAAAAAAAAAAAATTTCTGTGAAATCCACAATATCTTACCTTGTCTTTTTAAATCTAATCTGACTAATATTTCATATCTTTTTCTTTCTGGCTACCAATAAACCAGGAAAATGAATCTAATACAATCATGGATCTGGGTAAGTGCTGTATAGTGTTTTTTTTTTTTTTCCAACCAAAAACAAAAAACAAAACATGAAGTGTTGAGTTACACGTATCCGTAAAGCAAAACTAGTAGTGGGTTATAACTGATATTGGAACCAAAATAAATATATACATTCCAACAGAGTTGTGGTGGGGAAAAAAGTGTATGAAAACCCCTTCCACCTGAAGTAAGTGGATATTTAATGGACCACTATAGGCACCCAGACCACTTCAGCTTAATGCCAGGTCCATCTAGGGTTAACCTTGCCTGCTATAAACATAGCAGTTTCCGAGAAATTGCTATGTTTACATATAGGTTAATCCAGCCTCTAGTGGCTGTCTCACTGACTGCCACTAGAGGCGCTTCCGCGCTTCTCACTGTGATTTTCACAGTGAGAAGACGCTGCCATCCATATGAAAGCATTGAGAATGCTTTCCTATGGAATGACGATGCGCGCGGCTCTTGCTGCGCATGTGCATTCAGCCGATGACGTCGGAAGGAGAGTCCCCAGTGCCGAGGGAGCCCGGCGCTGGAGAAAGGTAAGATTTTAACACCTTCCTCCCACTTCAGCCCTGCGGGTGGGGGAGGGGACCTATTAACACTATAGTGTCAGGAAAACTAGTTTGTTTTCCTGGCACTATAGTGGTCCTTTAATACATTGCTAAACACAAATACACACACCAGTCAAGACATAAGACTTTCTTTTCCGACAGAAATCTCACTTTAACAGTGCTCTTACTACTGCAAGGGATTCCGGGTAGGTGTATGCAAATGAACTCAACAAAGAACCACATTTTTGCCTCATTTCCACTTTATACATGGATTCCTTGCAGTATGTGCCTGCTGTATACAACAGCTTTGAAACACAACTCATGAAGATCCCATAGGATTGGCTGAGACGGACAAGGAGGCAGATCAGGGACAGAGCCAGCACAATTCAAACACAGCCCTGGCCAATCAGCATCTCCTCATAATAGAGATAAAGTTCAGTGGAGTGGAGACACTGAATGTTTGGATGCATTTTAGGCAGCCATGACCCAGGAAGGATCTCTAACAGCCATCTGAGGAATGGCCAGTGAAGTTATCACTAGGCTGTAATGGAAACACTGCATTTTCTCTGAAAAGACAGTGTTTACAGCAAAAAGTCTGAAGGGAATGATTCTACTCACCAGAACAAATTCATTAAGCTGTAGTTGTTCTGGTGACCTTATATATGTGTGTGTGTGTGTGTGTGTATATATATATATATATATATATATATATATATATATCTCCGTATTAGTCCAGTAGACAAGATGCCAATATACAAGAGTATTGCAGTATGCAATGATACCTTTTTTTTTATTGGATTAACATAATATTTCAAAGACAAGCTTTTGAGAGTTTTCCTCTATTCCTCAGGTCTGAAGCAAAAAAAAATAAAAATATATATATATATATATATATATATATATATATATATATATGTGTGTGTGTGTTTAAGAGATGCACTCTCAGGGCTTTGTAAACAAATAAATTAGTATTTATTCAAAATAAAGGTACTCCAGATAATCCGACCGATGTTTCGGGTCTTTCTCAAGATCGAAACGTCAGTCGGATTATATGGAGTACCTTTATTTGTTTACAAAGTCCTGAGAGTGCATCTCTTACACATATTATGGAATATATATATTCTATAACGTGGGATCGCACCAAGGCATAAGTGCAACCACTTAAGTGGAGACAGGGTGAGTGCCAAGCTACTATATAAATATAGTAGCTTGGCACTCACCCTGTCTCAACTTAAGTAGTTGATCAGATATAAATTACTCAGATTACTGGTACTGGTTTGCACAGTATCAAATATATAGACATGTATCTATCTATCTATCTATCCGTAATATCTTATACTATACAAACCAATACTACTGACCTCTGACCATTGCTGAGAGTACATGTTATTTTAAAATTAGGGTTATATTTAGGGCTAGTGTTTTTTTGATACTAAGGCAGATATTGGTGAGATTGCAATTTGCAGCTGCTGTTTTTTTTTCCTTTCTTTCAAACGGAGTGCTAAATTCATGTTTTATCAAGCAAGACTAAGATTGCGCAAGCTGTCTTTAATAGAGTTCCTATTTATTTTTAAAGGAGAATCCACTCAGGAAATCGGCTTTCAAAGCTTTAAAGTGCTGAGCTTTACCAACTTATACAATAGAAAAGTAAATTAATGTAACACCACTCACTGGAATGTGAGCTAGAGAAATATTTTAATGGGTAAAGGAATAGGAACTCAGAGTGTCACGATAACTGTGGCAAGAAAAAGGGGGTAACCCTAAGTAAGTAGTAATTAAATAGGAAAGTGCTTGCCTACAGGTGTCAATTGGTTAAAACATAACATTTAATAAATTAGTTTAAAAGCTTGCCGTTGAAAATCAGCAAATAAACCAAAAATTATTATAAAATTCTAAAACTATTAATAGTGTAGAGCAAAGGACAAAAAGAAAAATGTATAAAGAAAAAAAAGACTATTGTAAAATAATCCTAATTATTTCTGAGATTACAGCATGAGTACAAGTGCAAGTAATTAGTAGTGTATTTAGAAATGCCAGTGAAAATGAAGCTGGCAATTCTAAAAGACACAAAGTTTCAATAGAGTAAAGTATAACCACTAACTATAGTTTAGTATACTATTGTATCAGTTTCCCACGAAGGGAACTATCAGTGTAACTGCTAGGTTATACACTCTATAGGAGAGGAACTAAGCCTGAAAATATCTTTTCTGATACAAGAATCAGATTGTTCAATGCATGACTCTTTTCCCAACTAGTGCTGTTCACCGATCATACTGTGAGTTGCTAAACTGTGCCTTCAAGGGCACCTAATCTGTATAAGAAACTGTCTGCTAATCTAAGGTAAGCACTAGTTTGGGAAAAATAAAGTCATGCAAATGCCCTGCCTATCTCTCTTGCAGAGGACATAATGTCTAAGATCTAATGAAAAAAACAAATGTCTTAAAGTAATTGTGATAGAGTATAGTGCAGAGCCCCAACGCGCGTTTCGCCAGCGGCTCTTCAAGGGGGGAGGAGTGAGCTAGAGAAACATGCAAGTTTTCTACTGAACATGGCAATATGAGAATTCAAATTCTCAGAGCAATCCTCCCTTCTGTTAATTCTGGTATCCCTATTTACCACTATAAAGTCTTATAGCATAGCCTTTAGCACAGCTGTCACCTTTAGCCACAATGTTATATAGTTCATAAGTGGTTTTTCTAATTAAAATATATAAATAATTAAGAATACAGTAAAAAATGGATGTTTGTGAAGCGGTAATGTTTGTCTTTTAAAATATTTTATTGAATATAAATAAAGATAGGCCTATAAAAATGTAATAATCCATTATAATAATATACAGCAGATTTTATAAGAATGCAGCATATCTGCTTCCAAATTCTGCCCTCTATCCTTAATATTAATAAGTACACATATTTATACCCTAGATTTTTAACTGGGTCATGTTGGGAAAACTGAAAAACAAACCTAATCTACCTTAACTTGGCAAGGAGATTAGACCATGACCATTAAGTTACAGCCTTGATTTGTTAATTTCACATGGGAAAACCATTAATCTGTTGTCATGACCTAGTCATCTTAATCTTTGTTTGGACAAAAAAGGTTGAACATGATATATACAAGGGCCTGACTTGGTATCACAACCTTAGACAAAATGGTGTCTTAAAGTCTAAACCTATTCTTTAAAGGACCACTATAGTGCCAGGAAAACATACTCGTTTTCCTGGCACTATAGTGCCCTGAGAGTGCCCCAACCCTCAGGGTCCCCCTCCCGCCCGGCTCTGGAAGGGGAAAAGGGGTTTAAACTTACCTTTTTCCAGCGCTGGGCGGGGAGCTCTCCTCCTCCGATCCTCCTTCTCTCCTCCCCGTCGGCTGAATGCGCACGTGCGGCAAGAGCTGCGCGCGCATTCAGCCGGTAACATAGGAAAGCATTCATAATGCTTTCCTATGGACGCTGGTGTGCTCTCACTGTGAAAATCACAGTGAGAAGCACGCAAGCGCCTCTAGTGGCTGTCAATGAGACAGCCACTAGAGGAAATAGGGGAAGGCTTAACCCATTCATAAACATAGCAGTTTCTCTGAAACTGCTATGTTTATGAAACAAATGGGTTAACCCTAGCTGGACCAGGCACCCAGACCACTTCATAAAGCTGAAGTGGTCTGGATGCCTAGAGTGGTCCTTTAAGTATCTGGGTAAGATGTCAGTTTGATAAGTAAAGGACCATTGTATGAAACAATATATTGCATTTCTAACAACATGTCAGTTTGCAAAAAGTATACAGTTTAAGGAATACAAGTTTTCATGCAAACAACCTGCAATGTTTGAAAATGTCCATAACAGTAATATTCATACACTGTAGTAATATTTCTTTTATATACAAGTTTACTTAAAGCATTAAACATGAACTATTCTTGACTGACTTATTTCTAATTATAATGTGATCTTTATCTTTTTATTTCGTTACACCCTTTTTTTGTACATTTTCCTTTTTTAGAAAGTACTTATAAAAAAAGAAAGCGTTACGATTCAGGTAAGCAAACAGTATTTGTGTAAAGCAATATAAGTATTGGAATGCATCGAACTTTAGCAATCTGGTCCATTCAACAGTACAGACTGTTATTGACCCATTAATATATTTTGAAAAACCTGATGGATGTAATGCAGGGCTCGACTAATCCTATGTATCCGGTTGCCATAGGAAATTTGTCCTGGCGCCAGGGATTTGTGAGCCCATTCATCCCCCTAGGTGACTGGCTTCCTGTGATCGAAGGTGGGCTGGTACGTGGCTCGCAGACAGTTGAGGCGGGTGGGCAGTTCATGAACAGGTGGGCATGCAGGATGCAAGGGAGCTGTCATCTCCCTGCTCTTCTCCCTCGCACGCCCTCATCTCCCTGACCCTCAAGTCACCTGGTAAAGGTGTTTTTACTCAACTTTGTCCCGCACCGTGCTGGCCTCACGTCCATGGCTGAGATCATCAGTTTTGACGATCTCAGGCAATCCAATGCTTTACCATAGGAAAGCATTGGGAGACTGTTGTGCATGTGCAGAAAAACGCAACTCTGTGCCAATCAACACCTCCTCATAGAGATGCATTGAATCAATGCATCTCTAATGGGGAACATTCAGTGCATGGATATGGTATGGTCTCAAAATGTGTTTTGGTAAAGAACCAGAACAAACACTCAATTTGCTTCAAAGTACATTAGCAATTACAACATCTGTTTATTGGAGATAAGCCTCCCAAACATTTCAGGAGCTAAACCATTTTATCAGTTTGTGCTAAAGGCTTTTTGGTGTACACCCTGTGAGTCGCTTTATTAGGCAAGTGGAAGAGACAAATTTAGATATATTAAGTGCCATATAATCAACATTAATTGTTCCAGCTAGTGAATTTACATTGAATCAGTAGACTTACAGTATCTCACAAAAGTGAGTACACTCCTCACATTTTTATTTTGAGGGGACAGCAAATGTACACTGTTATACAGGCTGTACACTTACTACTTTACATTGTAGCAGAGTGTCATATCTTCAGCGTTGTCACACGAAAATATATAATATATTTACAAAAATGTGAGGGGTGTACTCACTTTTGATAGATACTGTATATGCATACATTTGCTCCATTGAAAAATATACAATTATACAATACCATTTAAATGTTTATGTGTTATAATTAGCTCTCTTTAATATAGATCTAGTACAGCAATAGTCAGAAAGGACAATTTATATTCAACAGTACATAGACCAGTAATACTTTTCGGCTGTTCACCAAGGTACATATTATTTATTAATTTAACTCACAGATAAGAGGGAATCATCAGTTGTGTATGCGGCTGTGGTTGGGAACACATGGCAAAGGGGTGATCGCCCAATATAATATATAATGAGGTGTGCTCTCTAATAAATGTGACAATACTAGTGCTTAGAGCACACGTATGATTGTTTGGTCTGTGTCTTTTTGTCTTAAATGCATCTGTACCGTGGTTGGTTTTTGGTAAACCAGGAATAAAATCAAAGTAATAAAGACTGAATTTTGCTGTCAACTTTCTGAACAATTTGATAAATATTCCCTTTTGTGTTTTGGTGAGCTATAAAAAGGTTCACTACCACTCTAATTATGTCCTTTGTACATATAGTAACCACTAAAGCAGAAACTCCATCTGGTTCAGGTAAGGCCTGCTGCCCCTTGCTGTATAAATATTTGTGGTGATTGTTTTGTCATTGTTTTATTTTTTCTTAATAATGTTAAGAAAAAAGAGGCATTTGTAATAAGGAACGGAGCCTGCTACTTTTTAAAACCTAGCTAAAACTGAAATTCTGTATGCAGCTAATATAACTGGCTATCATGTGCCAATAACATTTGCGTACCTCTCAACTCCGGCGTCATGTGCATCAAAATGTAATTGGGAGGGGCAGTCCTGCACAGGAAAGAGCATCCATTCAGCAAGCCTGGCAGACTAGCATGGATGTATGCCAAGCTACCTGTCTATAATTCAGGCTGGCTCACTGAGGGCAGATCCTGCCAGGAGAACTATTTCAGGGCTCTTTGCGGAGTTCTAACACCCTGAGCATACAGTGAACCCACCTAATGTTGTTGAGGACAACTTCTTGGTCGTCGTCCCCCAAAAAAATTAGAACATAGGACAGGTCCTGAAAATCAGAACTATACTGCTGAAATCAGTTGGGCCTGCATTTGTCTGGTAGGTTGGTATAGAAAATATCCATGGAATTGGGAAAAGAATAAGACTCCATTAATATTCTAATTTAGCTTCTGACTTCATTTTTATTTCAGAAAGCACTAATAAAAAATCGAAGCTGCCTGGTTCAGGTAAGTGCTATTAGTATAAAATAGCCTCAATTTATTTTTATGTAATTTCTTTTTGGTTTTTTTTTTTTTTAAGTAAGCACATTGTAACCACATTACAATATGGATGAACAGGTTGTTGGCATTAGCAAACATAATGTTAATTGAATGATTATTGAAGTAGAATAAGCCATATATATATGCTCTCACAGAATGAGCATTTCAGAGGGGTAGGGGAATGAGGAGGTTTGGAGGGCAAGATCGTTGATGCAGTTTCTTATGTTGTGTAATGTTCTGCATATGTAATGACAAATGAATCATATTGTGCAGCGTATAGGATAAAATATTGTTGTTCTTTAGTTACAAAGGAAAATTTACAAAAACAAACATCAAAGCTGTGCCATGGTTAGAATGGTAGCTAGGTAACCGTATTGAATTGTGGGGTATAAAAGCCTCATGGGGTATAAAAGCCTCATGGTAAAGTTTATTAGCACTAATTGTCATACATTGTAACAAAAAGGTTTCACGTAGAGCATTGTATTGTGGTTTATGTGTACTATTTCAGATAAGTTCACTGATGCTTGTTTATTAAAATTTAAAATGTCAATTAAATTGTAAAAATACATGAAATGTCTGTATTCTTTCTCTCTTTTTGTACAAACAGCAAGCACTGCGAAAAAAGAAACCCCATCTGTTTCAGGTTAGTTATGTTGCTGCAACACATAATTTAAGATTTCTGTGCCCCCCTCTTTCAGTGGGGGACTGTTATTACAGATCGATTCTGGGGATAGGACACATTCTTACACTTAACAATAAAAATGGCAATACAGTGGAGATGTATGTGTTGCAGACCTGGCCCACCAATCATTATTCTACCAATTTAAAAAAGCAATAAAGCCTTACGGTACAATAGCGGTAAAACCAAGTGCAGCAACAGGGTCACCCTAGTGTGTTGTCACTCCCACACTAAATACATACGTTTCAAATGGAAAGAACAGGTCAAGGTGACAAGTGCACAAATTGGGTGAACCTTTTTCAGACGGATAACAAGATAGAGACCTACACAGTACAAGATACAAACAACATCATGAAAATTAGCACACTCGCAGATTTTTGAGCCACTCAAAAGCTGGCTCAGACTGTCTGGTTGTTTCTCCCAATACTGGGTTGTCGATCCAAACACCGTGTCCCACCAGATACAGCAACTCCAAACAGGTTAGTTTTCCAGAACCAGGGTTGATGGTAAAAAGTTTTTTATTTTCAAATAACCAATAGGAAATATAAAATCAACATTCAAGTCTTTCAAATTCACAGCACAATGCGTCTCAACCTTTGGCTAGGTCTTCCTCAGGTGCATATGACAGGGTTATACAAACAGGGTTTATATACATACAAAAATACAATTAATTGGGTTCGGGTGCGTTAATTACTTCAAATTAACGCCCCTTACCTTATATGAACGAATTTCGCCTCTCTTAATATGGATACCGCCTTGTATTCAGTTCCTGTGTGTAGATATTCTGGCCATGTCTCAACCAAGATGGCGGCGTGTCTGTTTCCTATGACACGTTTCCTGTAGCGATCGTCGCTCTCTAGATGGTGGCGCGTCAACTTCCTGTGACGCATTCCTGCCGCAATTGTCGCTTTTGAGCACAAAGTTTGTTCCCAGCCGTCCATTGAATAAGTTTGAAGCATATGTGGATATAAATCGTTTTATTGGAAAGTTAAAAAAATGTTTAAGATAAAGAAAACTCAAATTTAGAGATATAGAGATATATATATAGAGAGATATAATATACATTGAAAAGGCCTGTTTAGACGAGATATATAAGATCAAACCATTGTGATCCTTGTCTGCAGTTAGCACGGTTCTTTTGGGTACAAACATGCACAGTCTTTAAAAGTAACTTAATTCCAGGCACTTTATGTTGAGCTTCACCACAGAGACAGCAGCAAATGAAAAAACACTAATGTAACACAAATCCCTATAAACAAAAACCTAGCTCGTCTGAGCACTTACTAACATCAGATTCCCTATCTCTTAGGGGTTAACCTATAACAAAACAATATTGGTTTCACCAACCTAGTGTCTTTGTCAGCTCTCTGCACTCCAGTGCTTAGTCAGCCTGCTGCTTCCAGCCCTTCAAGAGAGAAACAAACATTGCCTAGCAGGGAGGGGTTTATTCACACTGCTGCAGCTGAGTAGTGGGTTGGAGACAGTCCAAACCCTGACCTGGACCTAGTCTCCCAAGAAAAAACAATAAACAGCGGAGTGGAGCTGCATTTAACCCCTTAAGGACGGAGCCAAATGTACACGTTGTGAACGAAACAAAATGTAAACAAAACCTGGCATTTGCGCTACATGTCTGTCCAACTGTAATTCACCTCTTTCATAGTAAATACACCCACCCTTATTATATATAATTTTATTCAGGGGAAACAAGGCTTTCATTTAATATCAAAAATTTAGCTATGAAACATAATTTAATATGAAACAAATTGGAGAAAATTTGATTTATTTATTTCTACATGACATTTTAACTGTCAATGTCTTAATACTGTTTGCTTTTACTGCAATAAAATACACATATTTGTATTCAGCAAAGTCTCACGTGTAAAACAGTACCGCCTATGTACAGGTTTTATGGCGTTTTGGGACGTTACAAGGTCAAATATAGCACGTTACATTTGAAATTGAAATTCGCCAGATTGTTTACGTTGCCTTTGGGACTTTATAGTAGCCCAGGAATGAAATTTACACCCATAATGGCATACCATTTGCAATAGTAGACAACCCAAGGTATTGCAAATGGGGTATGTCCAGTCTATTTTAGTAGCCATTTGGTCACAAACACTGGCCAAAGTTAGCATTAGTATTTGCTTGTGTGTGAAAAATGCAAAAAACGCCAATTTTGGCCAGTCTTTGTGACTAAGTGGCTACTAAAAAAGACTGGACATACCCCGTTTGCAATACCTTGGGTTGTCTGCTATTGCAAATGGTATGCCATCATAGGGGTAATTTTCATTCTTGGGTTACCATAGGGTCTCAAAGGCACCGTAACAAATCTGGCGAATTTTAATGTGAAAAAAATGAAACGTAAGCCTTATATTTGACGCTGTAACTTTTGAAAACACCATAAAACCTTTTCAAGCCATTTCAAGACCAGGCACTTATATTTAAGTTAGGTATGAGTATGGCAAGTATTAGTGCTGTTGTCGGTAAAATGTCTCTGTATTGCTTTCTATGCTGCGGCATGATCCAGGCTAGGGATGTAATGTGGTGTCCTTCGGTGTAAGTCGCTTCTAATGTAAAAGCAGGATGGTAAGGAATTGCTCTGATGGAAGGCCATCACCAAAGGGCTGAGGATAGCAGCCCGTTAATGATTAGTCAGATTCGGGAGTCCCAGACCCCCCTGTTGGAATGGTTTATACACATGTTGGGCAACAAGCCTTGATCTTTTATTTGCCTACACAAATTTGTTAAGCACCGATTGTTATGGTATCTTATAGTGTGCGAGACAAGTATTGTAATTTAGGCAGAATGCGCATTTTCACAGCCGCCACTCTTCCCATCCAGGATAAGTGTCTACCCTTCCAACCCAGTAACTGAGTTTTAACATTTTTCATTGCCTTGGCATAGTTTGCCTGATATAATCCTTGTACATGCATTGTAAAAAAACACCCCTAGAAATGTGAGACCATTCTGTCTCCAGTCATGTGTAGGTTTGTTGCAATGTTTTGGAAAGGGAAGTTGGTATATGGATGTCTAGTGCTTGTGTTTTCGCTATGTTTAGTTTATAGTAGGAAAATGCACTATATTTAGTTAAGATGTTCTGGAAGGCAGGGATAGATATCTCTGGCTTTGTGAAAGACAGCATCACATCATCCGCAAACATAGTAAACTTGTAATCTATCTCGCCTATCTTAATGCTGTGTATTGAGATATTATCCCTTATCGCCTGCGCCAGTGTTTCAAATGCTAAAATATAGAGAAGAGGGGACAATGGACATTCCTAGCGCGTGCCATTTGAAATGCCAAAAGCAGACTATGTGAACCCTCCATTTGCTACTTTTGCTGAGGGATTGGAGTAAAGTGCTGAAATTAGAGATAGAAACTGTGGAGGGAAGTCGAATTATTGGAATATGGCCTCGAAATGCCAGTGCAGCCTGTCCAAAGAGAGGACGACCCTGGGGTCCCTTGAGGCTCGTTGTCCACAAAGGAAATATAACAATTTTCTGGTGCCATCAGCTCCCAGTCTGCCTGTGACTTGGTCTGGGTGTAACAATGATGGAATCAGGTGAGATACTCAGTTTGCCTATATATTTGCTAGAATTTTAGTATCTGTATTCAGTAGCGATATTGGACGAAGGTTTTGTGTTTTTTTTCGGTGGTTTCCCTGGTTTTGGTAATGTCGCTATGTATGCTAGTAACATGTCGGATGGTAAGTTACCAGATTCTATTATGTGGTTGAGTTGTTACTAATTGGGACCCTAGAGTTTGATGGAAGGTTTTATTGTAGGCATTTGTGAAGCCATCTGGGCCTGGTGATTTCTCCTGGGGTAAGGATTCTATAGCTTGTCAGTTCAAGTAGGGAAATTGGGGTCGTGAGTGCCTCTCCTTGTGCATGCGTCAGAGTTTTCAGTGTGATACTGGAGAGGAATCCTTATGTTTCGCTATGTGTAGGCTGGTGATTCGTTAAATCATGTTTTAAGTTGTGAAGTGATTTAAAGAATTCAGCCATAGTGTTATTTATGTATTGTGGATTGTATATTTTCCCACCAAAGGCATTGAATAGGTATGGTATTTTCGATTGAGCCTGTTGCTGGTGTAACATTACCGCAAGTGCTTTGCTGGCCCTGTTGCCCTGTGTATAAGTTTTCAGTTTTAATCTTTGGAGAGTATGGGCTGTCTTTTTTTTAGAAGGAAGTAGTTTATTTGTTTGGTAGTTTGACGTATTTGTTCGTCTAGTGTATCCGTGGGGTGCAGGAGATGGGCATTTGTTAGGTTCCTAAGCGTTCTGAGTAGGGTAAGATATCTGTGTGTAATTCGTTTTAGATATGAAGCTCTACTAGTCATCAACCCTCTGACAACCATTTTATGAGCTTGCCATGTAGTCGCGGGTTGAACTTTAGATGTAATGTTGTCTTTAAAGTATTTGACGTCAGCTTCCAATTTAGTTCTAAACTCATTGTCGTATAACAGTGTATCATTAAGGCGCCACTGGGTTCTTCCCCTATGGTAGAATATATTTTGTAAGGTCATAGTTGTCGGAACATGGACCAACCAAACTATATCTCCTATACGACAACCCACGACACATGACAACAAGCCTCTGGACACTAGTATGTCTATTCTTGAGTGTGTTTTATGTACCGAAGAGAAAAACTTAAATTCCCTGTCATTAGGGTGCTGAGTACGCCATACACCGTACAGGTCATATTCAGAGATCAGCTTGGTGAGTGCTTTGCATTGTGTCAGTAGGGATTTAGATCTGGGGGCTTGTTTGGCAAGAGTTGTATCCATGTGTGGGTGGAGGACTTGGTTCAAGTCCCGCATATTTAATAATTCTTTATTTTGGTTGTGGAGATATTGAACATGTTATTTGCACTGCCACAACAGCTGGTGCAAACAGATGTGTATTCACATGGCATCAAAGACATTGCACTTTTTTGTTTAGAGAGAGATAAACAGGATTAGATCATAAGCTTCACAATAACATAGGGGAAATGTTAGCTTGTTAGTTAAAGTTAGGGATCTACCGATTATCGGTCTGGCCAATATTATATTACAAGATAAAGGTATCCGCATTGATTTGAGCAGACTCTCAAGAAAGACTGCCACATTGTTCTAATATATAAACAGATTAATACAGGCTGGGTTTAGTTAGTGCTTGAAAATAGTGTAAGAGTGCGTAAGCTGTGTTTTTCACAAGAGAAATGTGATGGAGTAAACATGCAATATTAGGTGTGGTGCAAGCTGAATTAGTATTTCTAATGTGGTGAGTCACTTTGTGGTCGACAGGCTTGTGTCATTAGACATATGTGCCTGCTCAAATATGTTAAAGTAGGCTTTAAAAAAATATGAAGAACAAAAATGAACAGATATAGTTTAACTATGTTAGCTGAATGTCAGGCTAATTGCCACCGTAGGACACACATGTTACGCTATGTTTGGGGTTTCTGCAGTAATGGGGACCCCCAAGGAGAGCTAAACTAACTTATTCACTTCGGAAATCAGGCAGCTTGTGATCGCTAGAAGTGCCCACTTATGATGGTCAAGTGTTGCTCGGCAGTAGCGGCGCGATTCCCCTTGGGTGTCAGTCCGGGTGACGTGCTCACCCATAGGCCTGGGTGCAGCTCATAGCCCGCTTTGTCAGCCGATCCCCTCGCGTGGCATTGTGAGGCCTCCCCCTGGCCCCCAGGCCTTGTGTGGGGTCTGTATCCAGGTGCCACAAACTCGTGGAGGCAGAGTTTTTCTCTGCATGGGCATCACGGAAAGCTCCGATGTTCTGTCGCCGGCGGTATGGTCAATGCTGCGGAGGGAACCTCCTTGTGACCCTCGGCCCGGGTGGCTGGTCAGTACTCATTGTTGGGTTAGGAGGGTATGTATTGCCCAGGGACAGGCCTGCTCCCTCTCCGTATCCCCGTGATATACCTCCGTTTGCCAAGGAGGGCCTTGCGAGGAGTCATTCCAGTTTGTCCCAGAATTGCCGGAATATCAGGTCCAGGCTTGTGGGTGTAGGCCTCGTGAAATGCATTGCTTCTGCCATGTTGCTGGGCCCGGAGCCCAGGCCTGAGTGGGCAGCTGTAGTCCATACGGTTGTGTGTCCGATTGGTGGGGGGGGGGCGGCCTGAGGACTGAGGCTCAAACTTTGCCTTGCATGGGTCAGCTCGCACCATGTGCCTGTCTCCACAAGTCACCAATATTAATCCTGAGATTGGGTTGGTCAGTTTTGGGCTTTTTGGACTTGCGCCCCATGATGACTGGGCTGTCAGATGAGGTCCTTGGGGCCAGATTTTACTTGGTAATTGCCCTGATTTAGTGCTTTTTATTTGCTTGTAGCCTGGAACTTCAGAAGTGTGCAACCGTCCGCTTTGGCAGTTAGGCTCCTCCTCCTCCAAGTCCTCGAATATTACGAGTTGATTTGTCTGATTTGTGTGGAGTTTGTTCAGCACCTTATGTATAAATTTGCGCTGATTAGCGTTGGGGCCATAAATGCCCACCAATGTGTATATGGCTTCATTGATTTTGCAGTGTAAGATCGTCTTTGAGAGTCTTTTTTGATGGGTAGTAATTCAAAGGTAAGGGATTTATGTATCAATAAGGAGACCTCCCCTAGTGTTGGAGGAATAAATTGTATGATATTGTATCGGGTAGTCTCGCAACACAAAAAGTGGTATTTTGTTGTGTACAAAGTGGGTTTCCTGTAAACTCGTCTTTTGTGTGGAGTGTTTAGCCCCCGGACGTTTTTTGTGATTGTGGTTTCATAGCCATATGTTGTGTGATGTATGTAGGCATCTAGCTTCATAGATTATCTTTTCTGTGTAATGTGCTTTGGTCAGTTTAGGCCCCATTGGAGAAGGTTAGCGAAGGATTAGAGGAAGGGGAGAGATAAAACTGAGGGAAAAGGAAAAAAAATGATATTTACATAACTGATATGTACATAAGGTCTCCTGTGGTGATATGGTACATGGCTGTTGTACCATGGGGGTTAGAAACCAATTGTTTCCTGTGGGTGGCTATGTGGGCTCTATCATGTTGTCCTAAGATGGTAGGACGCGTTTGAGTGTATCTAACTTGTATCTGTTGTTTATCCACTCTGGGAAAAAATTCAGTCAGTGTCATAAAATACCATGGAATAAAAGTTCGAGTGACTGTATGTATAGGTACCAGGGGTAAAATATATATATATATATATATATATATATATATATATATATATATATATACGTAGTCACCTATAGGTAGCACATCGTTTTAGTAATCTGTACACATTGTATCTTGGGGAGGACCGATAATTTCATGATGGAATGATTAAGTTGCATGGAGATATGAGATTATCATGAAATCTTGCTTGTGCAATCGAGGGTCACCTTGATCTTAATATAATTAATATTGTGTTGGGTGCTAGCTCTGATTATAGATAAAGATGACCCTGTAGAAATGGAGTCACTAGATACCCGTGCACATCATATTATTTTAAATCATATGCACAGTACAGTGCAAAGGGCCTCTGTGTTTCTAATGTGGGATCAAATGTGTTGTGCTGTGAATTTGAAAGACTTGAATGTTGATTTTCTATTGGTTATTTGAAAATAAAAACTTTTTTACCATCAACCCTGGTTCCGGAGCACTAACCTGTTTGGAGTTGCTGTATCTGGTGGGAACCTGGTGTTTGGATCAACAACCCAGTATTGGGAGAAACGACCAGACAGTCTGAGCCAGCTTTTGAGTGGCTCAAAAATTGTGAGTGTGCCAATTTCACCACTTGCTTAAATATCTTCAAGCATATTACACTTGATGTTGTTTGTATTTTGTACTGTTTAGGTCTCTATCTTATCTGCCTGAAAGAGGTTTACCCAATTTGTGCCCATGTCACCTTCACCTGTTCTTTCCATTCTTTTACCAATCACATTATAAGTGTTTAATCATGGACCTAACTATATGCCTACAAAGTCCATGACTTTGTGCAAGTGTACCTAGAAGAATCGGTGCTGTTTTGAAGGCTAAGGGTGGTGACTTTGCATGTTGTTAATTGCTAAAAATAAGATATCATTTAAAAAATTTATTTTGTAAAAAAAATGTTTTAAATCATTAATTCTTAAAAGTTTTGCACAGCAGTGTACGTTGAAAGTAAAAAAACAAAAGAAAATCATAAAATATTTATCTAGGGGGTGAAAGTTAGATATTGATTTCTAGTTTGTTCTGACGTACTTAATAATTAATATTCAACAGGAAGTGTGTGTGTGTTCAATCACATTTTAATACGTACAGCCTGTTTTTGAAAGAGCTGTGCAGTGTAGGAATGATAAAAAAGGAAGTGTTACCCAACGTAACAAACCTTGTAATTTTGTCAGTCTGTTTTACGGTGTTCAATACTTGTTTGCAATTCATGTCAAAAATACATTGGGGCCAGTGCCCCATATTTGTTCTAAAAACTTGCTTCAGTTTGACCATGTCCTATAATATTTCTTGTACAGTTTCAGGAACACTCTAATGATGCTTTTTGTCTAATTATAGGTGCTCTTTTTAATATAGATGACCCCCTCCAACCCTGCCTCCCAATATAAATAAATTATTGCCTTGATAGAGATAGCAGCAGCTCTGCCTTTAATGAAGTCATCAGGATTGGTGGCTTTTGTCCAATCCAATATTTCTAATTGAGAGGCATTTGGGATAAAAGGAGCATGAACAACAATTATTCCACTCTTGCCAGTTGGATGCTGGGATGAAAAGGATTAACACTTTTCAGTATTATCATGCTGATTAAGTGCTTCTAGTGTATGTCAGTTCAACACCCACTAGAGCAGGGGTAGGCAACATTTTAGCAGCACTGTGCCGATATAGGATTGTGATGTCCCGTAGCGTGCCGGTCCTATTTTTTTTTTTTTATTCTTTTAAATCGAGGGGTGTATGCTGCCGTATTCTGCTTGTGTTATTTTTAATGTAATTGCTTTGTATCGTTGTATTTGTGCTTATATGCAGAGCTGTCTTTAATAGTCACTGGACCCTGGGCAAAGCATTTGCTTGGGGCCCCCTGGACCCTGTCCCCCCTCCTCAGGCATGCAATCACATCCTCCACCTCAACGCAGTGGCAGACCTAAAGTAGAGAGGTGCGAGAATTTTTGGGGGTCTCTTTGTTGCACGGGTGATTAAAAGGTAGATCTCCATCTGTCGTGCAACTCCAGAAATGCATTGACAGCTGGGGCTCTACCATTTGCCCATGTTTGCAGGTCTGTTTTTAGCACTAAGCAGTTTTTGTGTGTTTGAATGTAAACAGGTTTTTGTATGGAAGATGTTTGTATGTGGTGTTGGCGTGATTGCAAGCATGTATTTGTGTACTGTTGGTTTTTGAATGCAGGGGTGTATTTACATATAATTTTGGTGTGTAACACAGACATGTGTTTGTACGTAGCGTTGAAATTTGAATGCAGGGGTGTATTTGTGTGTAGTGTTAGTGTGTGAATGCTGAGATGTATGCACATATATATACACACACACAGATATATACACACTGAAATGCGCGCACACACACAGATACACATACAGACATGCTGACATACAAACATACTGACACACACACAGATATACTGACACACACAAAGACATACTGACACACACAGATGACACACACACACACACACACACACACACACGGACAGGCATACTGACACAGGCATACACTTTAAAACCCACCCTCCAGTTTCCTACCTTTCCTGCTGGTGGCTGAAAGTGTTGGGAGTTGGGGTCTAGCGCTCTCGGCCAGCCCCCCTCCAATCTGCCTACTATTCTTTCCCGCGCACTCCTCCCCTTGTGGGAGGAAGTGATGCGCGGTCATCACTTCCTTCCATCCTGCTGCCGTTAAAGCACCTCAGCGTGCGACCGGGCCCCTGCTGACAGAAGCCCACTGGGTGGTCCTTTGTGTATGGGCCACCCAGTGGGCCTCCTTAGTGTGCGGATTACCGGCCAGAGGGTTAGAAATAGTTGAGGCCTGCAGGGCTCACGGTGCAGCTGGCCAGTTTGCCCCACGCTAAAGAGGGCCCTGCGTATACGAGCTATTATATTGTATATATTCATGAGTAGTTTATGGTATTGTATATGATACATATGGATGTGGGCTGTGTATGGGGGCTGCTTGTGGAATTGTGTGTGTGTGTGTATGGATATGTCAGTGTGTGTTTGGTAGTATGTGGGGGATGTTTGTGGTATTGCATGTGGGGTTGTGTGCATGTATGTGGATTGTTAGTGGTGTTTCGTTTGTGCGGATTGTGTGATGTTTGTGTGTGGGGGGTCCGTATTATTTGTATGAGGGGAGGGTTATTCTGCGTTTCTTTGTGGGTGGCTTCCAGTGGGGACTAGGCCGGCCAGGTACATGTCAAGGATAGGAGCTGCAACTGCGAGCTGCTCAGTGTGGTTTCCTATTCACAAGTGCTGGGAGGAAGTGATCTGAGATCAATACCTCTACGTGCTGCAATGCATAAATTGAGGATTGTCCTTCACCACCTTTTCTGATTAGCAGATATCAAGTTTTACTGGGACTCCTGATAGGCCAGAGCCTGTTTGGCTCTAGCAGCCTTGAGTGCCGTGCATGGCACTAGTGCCATAGGTTGCCTTCCCCTGCACTAGAGGTTTCTGTTCTCATAAATGTAAATCTAAGAAACAGCAATGTTTTTAAATTTGTCAGAGAAAAGGAACATCAAGATGTAGTGGTTTGGGTGTTTAGTATGTGTCTTTAACCCCTTAGCGACCGAGGACGGTTCAGGACCGTCATCGGCATTTTTGCCTTGAGGACCGATGACGGTCCTGAACCGTCCTAACGGTCTGGGGGTACTTACCTGATCGCCGTCGTTCCCCCGGCGGCGATCAGCGTTGCTCCGGTTGTGGGGAGACTGCCTGCAGCCCAGACAGTCTCCCCACACTGAATTAGGACCCCTGTGGCCATGTGATCGCTTAACACAGCGATCACATGGTCACAATAGGTGTCCATGTGTGTGCCTGCAGGGGGACTGTCTATGCTGACAGGCAGTCTCCCTGCTAGTGTAAAATCAAAAAATAAAAATAAAGTTAATGTTAAAAAAAAAAAATAATAATTATATATGTGTATATATGATATATAGACATATAATATATCTATATAATATGTCTATATATCATCTATATAATGCCATACTAAGTGTATTTTTATATCAATATGTACTTATATTAATATAAAAATACACTTATAATTAAATTACACACGTATATATTTAATATATATATAACTATATATATATTGTATATATATATTATTATAAAATATAAATAAGTAATTTAAATTAAATAAAAATTTTTTAAAATAATAAAAAAAATTAAAAAAATTATATATCTATATGAAATTTTATTCTAACTGTATTTTAAAATTAATATATATATATTTATATCAAAATACACTTAGAATGAATTTGTATATATATCTATGTATATAAAATAAATAAAAATAAGAAATATACATATGTCCATATACAAAATTACATAAATAATTATATAAATATACACGTAGACTTCAAATATATAAATATGCATATATATTTAAATTCTACGTGTGTATTTATGTAATAGTTTTACATAATTCAGTAATTTTATTGATTGCAATTTAAGGGACCTGCCTGCCAACCCAGGCCGAAATTCCAGAGAATTGAATTTGCTAGCACTGTATTTTACCCTGTAACGTTCTACGACACCCTAAAACCTGTACATGGGGGGTACTGTTTTACTCGGGAGACTTCGCTGAACACAAATATTAGTGATTCAAAACAGTAAAACATATCACAGCGATGATATTGTCAGTGAAAGTGACTTTTTTTGCATTTTTCACACACAAACAGCACTTTTACTGATGATATAATTGTTGTGATACGTTTTCCAGTTTTTAAACACTAATATTTGTGTTCAGCGATGTCTCCCGAGTAAAACAGTACCCCCCATGTACAGGTTTTATAGCATTTTTGAAAGTTACAAGGTCAAATATATGGGTCAAATATTTTTACATTGAAAATGGCCAGGTTGGTTACGTTGCCTTTGAGAGCGTATGGTAGCCCAGGAATGAGAATTACCCCCATGATGGCATACCATTTGCAAAAGAAGACAACCCAAGGTATTGCAAATGGGGTATGTCCAGTCTTTTTTAGTAACCACTTGGTCACAAACACTGGCCAAAATTAGCGTTCAATTTAGTTTTTTTACTTTTTCACACACAAACAAATATGAATGCTTACTTTGGCCAGTGTTTTCGACTAAGTGGCTACTAAAAAAGACTGGACATACCCCATATTGAATACCCTGGGTTGTCTACTTTAAAAAAATATGTACATGTGGGGTGTTATTCAGAGATTTATGACAGATAATAGTGTTACAATGTCACTATTGATAAATTTAAAAAATTTATGTTTTGAAACCGCAATATTCTACTTGTACCTATAGCCCTATAACATGCAAAAAAAAGCAAAAAAGCATGTAAACACGGGGTATTTTTAAACTCAGGACAAAATTTTGAATCTATTTAGCAGTTTTTTTAATTCGCTTTTGTAGATGAGTAAAAGATTTTTCAAGTAAAAGTCAAAAAACATGTATTTTTTTCAATTTTTCATCATATTTTTTTATTTTTTTTAAATTAAAATACATGAGATTATATAAATAATGGTATGTAAAGAAAGCCCCTTTTGTCCTGAAAAAACAATATATAATTTGTATGGGAACAGTAAATGAGAGAGCGGAAAATTCCAGCCAAACACAAACACCACAAAAGTGTAAAAATATGCCTGGTCGCAAATGTACAACATCGCAAAAACAGTCCAGTCCTTAAGGGGTTAAAATTCCTTTCATAAAAACTAATGAAGGCATGTTTCTATTTGAGCTCCTCTCAACGCCAGCATTTCAGTTATGTTCACTTGGATGAAAGATCAAAGCGGTGATTCTAAAGTAAAAGATTACCAGGACTTCAAGTTGTAAATATAAATGTAAATCTAAAACATGTACATGAAAAAAATTGTATTTTATTCTCATATTTATTTTTTATTTTTTTTGTAAATCTAGGAAGCACAGAGTCTAAGGACACCCCATGTGTTTCAGGTAAGTGTTACCCTAGTGTATAGTTTAAAATATTTTTTTTGTCTTTAGATTGTTTAGTATAAAAAACAAACATAGTACTTTCTAAAGATAGAACTGTTAAACTGTGTTCACATAGGCAAATATATTTTTACAGTAAGATGAAAAATATCTCTGTTGTAGACCAAACTGTATACTTGTCTCTTAGTAAATTCACATTACCCTCCATTTGTGTTTTTATTAGGATTTCTTTTAATCTACTTTGAATTTAAATGGGCCGCTGCTAAAGTGAATATTTATCTAGGGGGTGAAAGTTAGAAATTGATTTTTTGTGTATGTTAAGTATTTCATAATTAATATTTAACAGGAAATGTGTGTGTTCAATCACATTTTAATACGTACAGCCTGATTTTAAAAGAGCTATACAGTGTATGAATACTTTCCTCAACTTTGGGTTTGTCATAGTTAGGTTTATACTACACAGTTGTTCTGGGAGCACTATAACAACTCCAGTTCATGGTAAGGGTTATGGTGTTAAGAGTCAATCTACTGCATCTAGCGCCTTCACGCACACATTTTGATAAAAAAAATATATATATATACACATAGCTAGTAGTATATAAACCATCAGTTTGTGCATATATTGCTTTGCAAATAAACTTACAGATTAAAAATATTTACATTTACACAACTTTTAAAAAAAATAAAAAAACATTTGGGAAATGAAAAGATTTATACAGTATCCTAGATTATCCTTTATCTTGCAATATTTCACACATGGTCTGATATTTTGTATAAAGGCAAAACTATATATATCCCCTCCCCCCCACATACACAAGGTATGACAAATAAATAAAAATGGTGCAATACCTTGCTTATTGGTATTTGTAGGCACCCTGAAAGCTTACCACCAATCACAACAGAATGTAGAAAGAATGTCTGCATTGAGCATAATGCCTACATAAGTGACTATAGTTAAACCAAATATTTCTGAAATAAAGGTATTTAAAGCAGCACTGTCACCGTTGTGGGAGTTTGTTAAATCCGCAGGGGGTCTGGTGGCCGGAAAGGGCAGGTAAAGATAAGATTTACTTACTTGAACCTGTGCCTCGAAGGCGCAGCCACCTTCCTCTTCAGAGCCGACACATTGAGGTCTATGAAGCATTCTGCGAGACCGTCGGATCCTCTTTCGACGCAGGCAGTTCCCTGCAGTCCCTACTTTGTCTCTGTATATCTCTAGACTTGGTTGGAATATCTGTGAAATTCCAACCCAGTAAAAATGACTATTTCATAAAAATTCTATCTTTATGAATTACTGAATTTTTTTTTGGAGAGGGGAGAGGAGAGGAGAGGAGAGGAGGGTGACAGTTCCGCTTTAAAACTTCTATAGCAATCTTTATCAATCTCGGGACTGCTGTTGTAATGATAAACGAAGTGCAACCACTTGAAAGTGCAAACAATGTTTAGAATAAAGTACTTAAAATTTGAAAACCTTCCACAATAAAATTAATCAAAAACAGTAGTGTATAAAAGTATATTACACCACCCTATGTGAAAAATAAATAATGACAGCTTCTCCCAGGATTAACCAGTTATCCTGTAACTCATGGGTAGTCAACCTGGTCCCTACTGCCCACTAGTGGGCTGTTTGGGATTTCAGGTGGGCGGTGGTGGGTTCTGTAGAAAACACCGGTGACCCTCGACCAAGGCCAGCAGAGGAGATCATTTCATCTTCCCTGCTTGCCCATGCAGAGCCAGCTTTGCTGTAAGCCCCCGCGAACTGGTGAGATCAAAGATCTCCTTCACTGGCCTGCTGACATTAGTTCCACCAGAGGGAGGGAAGGGCCTAAGAAGCTCTGTGTCCCTCCCGCGAGCAGGCTGGTCGGAGCATTGCCACGCGTTATCATACAGTGCTGTGCTTGCATGAGGACAGGATTCAGCCTGCAGTAGAAGGAGCTGCAGTTAAAGTGAACATGCCACCACTGGACAACCAGGGCTTGCAACATTATGTCCCCTCTCCCTGGTAATAGGTAAGAAGAAGGCACGGGGAGATATTAAGATAGATTTTTCACCTCTCACCTTCCTATACACAGCATAAACTCTATTCACTCTTCACACTACACCCAGACACTCCCCCCCTCCCCCATACACACAGACTGTCCCCCATACACACAGACTGTCCCCCTTTACACACAGACTGTCCCCCCCCTGGACTGTCCCCCCTCATACACACAGACTGTCCCCCTCATACACACAGACCCTGTCCCCCCCTCATACACACACAGACTGTCCCCCCTCATACACACAGACTTCCCCCTCATACACACACAGACTTCCCCCTCATACACTCTTCCCCCTCATACACAGACTTCCCCCCCTCCACACACAGACTTCCCCCACACTTACACACAGACTGCCCCCCACACAGAGTCTGCCCCCCCACACACACACACACAGAGACTGCGCCCCCTCACACACACACAGAGACTGCGCCCCCTCACACACACACAGAGACTGCGCCCCACACACACACACACACAGAGCACACTTCACACAAACTGCACTACATACAGCACCCTTCACACCCACACATAGAAAAAAAGGAAAAAGAAGTAAGTTTAAGTACATTTAAAAAAAAAACCTCGCACTATAAAATTAGTTACTGTGGCACTGGTGGGCGGTAAGGAAATTTTACCATCAACAAAGATACAAAAGTGGGCGGTAGGTATTAAAAGGTTGACTACCCCTGCTGTAACTGAATCAAGGACATATACAAAAAATGGAGCTACAACTACCTCAATGATGTTCAAACAAGAGATAAATGAGTTGTATTCAAGACACCACTCAATATTACTCTTGTGAGTGTTATTAACCCCGTTGGGGCAATGTTTCTTCCCCGGGGAATATGAACGGCTGCGGTCCATACTCTGAGTTCCAACCAGCACACCACACCAAGAGCTCGGAGAATTGACTGACATGCAACACCAAGATAGTGTCCGCTTGACAGCGTTTCGCTTTTGTTTGTTTGTTCCCCAAAACATTGTCTGAAGAGGAAACATCTGTTAAGAGTAAATTTAGTACATGGTCATTTGCAAAAGCTAAGATATATGTTAATACTGTCTTGATATAAACTATCACTTAAGCAGCTTTGAGCAGTAAACAACAAAATGGAGCCTACGTCCAAAATTGCACCTGAATCTAAAATGGTGGTTCATTCCAAAATTGCACCCTATTACAAAATGGTGAATTGGTTTTAACATTTTTATCCCAAGAAACCCCTTGTTTAAACATAATTTGGGTTTACTCTATTCCACTTTGTATATTATTGTGTTCTTTTAGGCAGGTTTAGCTCCATTTTTTTGTATATGTGATTTAGATCGAGAGCAAACTTTGATTATTTGTCTATCTACCCCTTCCAAATTGATTGATTAATGCGTGCACGCTCTTCCTAGAAGTAATTCACACCGGAGACAAAGTTTCTGATTAGTGAAAAACCTGAGGAATGCTTTATTCCCCGGCGTGGGAGCCCCTTTTTAAAGCAGAAATACGTCATGTACAGAGTCACAGTTAACATACAATATACATTCAACAATTGGTTAACAGTCTAAGGGGTCTTGTCTAAACCCACCCTACAGGATGTAATGTCATTATTACAGAGTTCTCCCACCCACATTCCAGCTCCATCTTGGTTACACGATGGGAGGGGGAGTGAGTAGTAACTGAACAGAGAGGGGCTGAAAGGGAAAACAGTTACTTTAACAGCGATTCACCCATTTTGTTACATGTGGCACATAGCTGTTAGTTTGCACAAAGGAAGTGGGGGAGGAGTTAGTAAAGGAAGCTGTTCTTTTAACACAGGAATTTGTTACACAAGGCCTGCTCAATGGGAAGGGGGGAGGGTAGCCGGGTGGGAGGAATTTACAGAGGAAATAGTTACTGAGCACACAGAGGGGGGAAGGGAAGCTTTTACTCTTGCAGCCAGTTTTACACAGTGACCACAGATACACTGAATAAATAGACATTAGTAAATAGACATTTTATCCATTCAAGTATTTTGTCCATAACATTTGGCTGTTTGTAATCCTTACGGTGAAAGGGAGTCCATTCGCCCCCTCCCTGAGTTTAAGAATATCACCTCCTGTACTATTTTAAAAGCAGGGAGTGTGCTTACATTTTCAGCAACTTTACATTCATTATATCAATGACTAATGGCTTCTGGCAGAGAAATCTGTTATGGACTGTGTTTCATAGTGTAAAACACATAAAAATAAGGTTTAACCCCTCTAATTCTCAAATTAAGTATAAAGCAGTTTGGCAAAAAAAATAAAAAATTGATACCTACAGCCTCGCCTTTCTGCTATGCTTATACCTGAGTAAACCCCTTTAACCTTGGAAATGATAGAGTGCAAATTTGACATGGGGTAGACCTGTATTCTGAACCTAACCTTAATGCCCAAACATTGGCTTTGGAATGAACATATCTGCAGCCAAGGGGCTAGGCTTTTGAAAGGCTTCTATTTTGTCGGCTTGCTCACTCAGTTGGTTTGACACAATATAGGGGGAAAGTGCCTTTACCACAAATTCTTTGCACTATCCTGTATTGTTTCATGACCTGGGCATAGTGCCCTTATAACCTATTAACAAATGTCTTCACATGTCCAGTGCATCTCCCACAGACGTTCTTGAGAGCAGTATGTAGTTTACCTAAATTGGCTTTTGTTCAACTGAAGGGAAGGAGCCAAATAAAGGTGTATATACAATTTAAAAACATCAACAGCATCTCTGACTAGAATTCTCATTTGATGGTATCATTAATATGGATTGATTAGATAGGCTATATGTTATCATTGAAATATTAAATTTGGCTGCCTCTCGTGAATCTGCAATTTAAACAAATCTCAACTTATAGAGTGCTTACTCTTTATAATTTATCGGATTTTCCGTCTGGCAACACAGTGTTGACTTCTACAGCCCTTTCTTGAATCCGCCCACCCTTGAAAACTGTCTGCACAAAACTTGACCAAAAGCATTATTGTGTTTGACCTTGTTGTGTTTTTGCTTTACAGTTTCTATACAGTGCTTTATTTTTACTTCTGGTTATTTTTTCTAAACCTATAATGGTATAACATGGTTTTAAATGTTATATTTATTTTGAAATCTAGAATATATGCCTGTTCTCAAACTGCGTGACATTTTAGAGTATTTACTTGAGACCTGAAAAATGAAACCTAAAAATTCACACCACTGTTTGTACCTAAATCTTGTTTGTGTATGTATGTGTGTGTGTATATATATATATATATATATATATATATATATATATATATCTAAAAGATGCTCAGGGTGCACTCAGAGGACTTTCTAGTGATACTTTAATGAAGTGGAAAAAAATATACAGTTATCTGCACACCCTGGCGGGTCTTTTTCAAGATACAGAGTGGATTACAAAATGTGAATATATATATATATATATATATATATATATAAGGGGGTGAAATACACTTACCAATCGTGACCGTGATCTCACCAAACTGCTTACACCTGGAAGTGTCAGGAAGCCGCGATGACGTCATGACGCCATGCAGGAGGTAGCGTGGTTGCTAAGATACCTGTACACAAACCCCCATGGAGTGTCTGTGTAAAACGTGAGATTAGGTAAATACTACCGTGAGTAGAATATAAAAAAAGCATACCAAACTACACGGAGGAGGGCAAAATAGAAAAGCAACAGAGTACTAGAAGAGCTAATGCAATCAAGGACCAAAAAAAGTAACACAATGTGAAAACAATAAATGTGAACAACATTGCAATAAAAAACTAAGTGAAGGTGCAGTGAACATGTCTCTAAGTGTAAATAGATAAATAAGTGATCCAATACAATTTTAACACATTTTACTATATAACTTGAAAATATACAAGTGTATCAATGAGGCATAATATCCAGAAAGCATGAATACTATAATAATTCAAAACTTAAAGGAACACTATAGCCACCTAAACAACTTTAGCTTAATTAAGCAGTTTTAGTGTATAGATCATGCTTCTCAGGTTTCACTGCTCAATTCACTGCCATTTAGGAGTTACATCACTTTGTTTCTGTTTATGCCGCCCTTGTCTCACCTCCCCTGGCTATGATTGACAGAGCCTGCATGAAAAAAACTGTTTTTTACTTTCAATCAGATGTAATTTACCTTAAACAAGTGTATCTCTTTCTCTGTAAATTGAACTTTAATCACATACAGGAGGCTCTTGCAGGATCTAGCAAGCTATTAACATAGCAGAGGATAAGAAAATCTAAATTAAACAGAACTTGCAATAAAGGAGGGATAAACTTTAACCCCTTAAGGACACGTGACATGTCATGATTCCCTTTTATTTCAGCGGTTTGGTCCTTAAGGGGTTAAATCACTCTTTACAGGAAGTATTTATGGAAGGCTGTGCAAGTCACATGCAGGGAGGTGTGACTAGGGTTCATAAACAGGGATTTAACTCCTAAATGGCAGAGAATTGAGCAGTGAGACTGCAGGGACATGATCTATACACCAAAACTGCTTCATTAAGCAAAAGTTGTTTTGGTGACTCTAGTGTCCCTTTAATAATGACTCTCCAGTCTATAGAAAAACAAATCTACTAGAGCCTAAAAAAAAATCATAAAGGCATACCTGCAGAAAAAAGTCGAGGAATAGCGAGGATAACAAAAACAGATGGCACAAATGACAAAACAAGCAACTAGATTAAAGAAACATAGAATAAATCCCATTTTTATTAAGGCTTCTAGGGGCTACAGTGTCCAGATTATGGATCCAAAACACCTCACGCTGTAAAAGCAATTTAGACCGGTCATCCCCACAGGGAGGAACAGGGACATGATCCATAGCAATAAAGCAGAGCATGGGGAGATGATGCTAGACAGCCAAAAAAAAATTAGCAACCGGTTTATCAGTGCGCTGGTCCTGGAAAGCGGTCATGATCCCAGATCTACGACCTCGAATGCGATCTCTTAAGGTGAGGTCAGTCTTGCCCAAGTATGAAAATCCGCAAGAACAAGTGATTTAAATAGACAACGTGTGGTACAAGTATTGTCTGATGGAGATACGTTTGCCACTATGGGGATGTGCAAAAGAGGGTCCACTCATATGGCTGCATGTAACGCAGTCTGAGCATTTGAAACATCCTTTATTTTTTATTTGAACAGTTTTTTTTTTGTAGCAGTGACTAGGATCACTGCGTACAAGTAAGTCATGTAAGTTACGATTTCTTTTATAGCTTACAATTGGTGTCTCTTGAAAAATAGGTGGATTGTTGCTATTGGTTTGTAGAATACGCCAATTTTTGTAAATGGAGTCCCTAATAGGCTTAATGCCTGTATGGAGTGTCAATTTAGCTGAAGATAATACCTGGGCCAGGATGATATCCCATATCACGAAATCGATCCCACATTTGTTGCAATTGGTTCTCATGGGTTTTGTGACACATAAAAATTGGGAAATAGGTAATGAGTCTTTAAATTGTTGTGGATAAAAGATAGTGGCTACAAGTAATGTATTACGGTCCTTCTGTTTGCAGTATAGAGTGTATCCTAGTCTATTGTTGACTCTGTATATAGTTACATCCAAAAGTTTAATTGTGGACTCATTACAAATATGTGTTAATTTGACAGACAACAGTAAAGCATTGATCTGGCCTACCATGGCATGCAGCTCGTCTGACGTTCCCGTCCAGATGACAAAATGTCATCCACAAACTTGCAATTATTTTAAATTTTATGACAAATTCTACTTACAAACCTCCAGAACAGCGATGGGAGCAGCTATGGGTCCCTCTTATGCTAATATATTTATGCATTGGTTTGAACATGAATATATATTGTCTGCATTTGAAATGAAAATAATAAAGTACCTGAGGTGTGTGTACGACATTTTTGTCACCTGGAGGGGAACGTTGGACAAGCTGCAATGGGTGAGCCTTATGAAAGTGTTATAATATGAAAAGTGGTGCAAAGTTTTAGAAGTGAGGCAGTCAGCATGGAAACCAGTGGTGCCAACAGGAACATTTCTTTTTTTTTTTTTTTTTATAATTTGTTTATTTCATTTTTTCTTATATAGCCATTCAAGACATTACCATCAGCATTAATGATATAAAAAACATGAATAATTTTGCCATCTACCACCAAATTAGATAAAAAATTTAAAATTAAATGTATACTCAATACTATTGCACACATATTAGCCTTTGTGATATAAGAGCTTTTTCCCCTATTCATTTTTCTACTAAATTATTTTCTAAATCTAGATCAAATGCCATATTGAAAAAGAGGAAAAAAGAAAGATCAGTCTACATGTCTAAAATTTTTTATCAAACCTCCCTCTAAGATTAAAATTCCTATTATCTATCGTATAAGACAACTTGATTCAGTATTAATTATTACTTAAATTGGGTAGATGGCATTCCAAACTTCATTAATATGATATACATAACAAACATAAAAGACAGACATTTATTTTTATGCATTGCAAACTCTTCTTGGGGTATTTCAGTGGTACCTCTATTTCACTACCTTAATATACTAAACAGATAAAGATGTAAGAGAAAGAGAGAGACTGATCTAATTACTTTAATTTTATCCAGAATTTATTCTGGCCATACTCTCCACTTTTTCTTTCCAAAAATTACTGACGTCTCTAATTTTAATTGACTGGAGTCCAAGGGCCTCCATATTTAATTGATATTGGACTTGAGAATATAATTGGGCTTGCACTACTCTTCCAATTCCTTGCAATGATTATTTTTATTGCTGCTACAAAATGGACATATATAAATTTATCCTTGAAAAGGAGTGATTGCAAATTTAAGTGAAATAAACCATTATGATGACCCCTGGGGATTTTTATTTCTGTAATATTCTCCAGTGAATCGAAAGCCATATACCACAGGATTTTCACCTTACTACACTCCCACCATATATGTCCAAAGGTCCCCTCTTTTTCGTTACATCTCCAACAAATTGGAGAATTGGAGATATACATTTTGGCTAGTCTGTTAGGGACTAGATACCAGCGGTTCATTAATTTAAACAATACTTCAAGAAGGTTCAGACAATGGATTATCTTACTTGTTTGATATAATACTTGGTCCCATTCAGACTTAAAAATCTGTACATTTAACTCTTTACTCCATTTTTGGATATTTACATTTAGCTTTGGAGCTTCGATTTGGAGGAGAGCAATCCTTGCCTTTGAGACTATTTGCGGTACGGTCTCATTTTTTAATAAAACTATCAGGTTTTCTATGCCCACTGTAGGTCGATATAACAAATATTGTTTGTTAAAACTTCCAATTCTTAAATAATTATACCACTCCTTCCAGGGTAATGAAAATTCTTGTATCAGATTTTCAAATGATTTAATTTTGTCGCCCGTTATTATTTGATTTATAGAATCAATACCTTTCCTTATCCATTCCCCTAAATTTAGATCCTTCATCCTTAATTGGATAATACTAAGGTTAAAATTTCCCAATATTTTATTACATAAACCGCTATTAATCCTCATCTTTTCCCACTCCATTAATATAGATTTCAAACATGTATTGGAGGAACAGACCTTTTTGGTTCTTTCATCTTGTTTAGTTAACCAAATAAAATGATGTAAATTTTCCATTTCTGTCATCTCCAATTCTAGTTGGTACCAACCAACTTCCTCTGAACTTAATAATTGTGTCTTATATATATGGAACATCATATTTGCTAGATACGTTATAGTAATATTTGGAAAATTTATCCCTCCTTTCCTAATCTTCTGCATCAAAAGTTGTTTATTCATCCTTGGCCTTTTTCCTTTCCATATAAAATTATTTATATCTCGTTGAATCATAGATAACCATGGTTGTGGCATTCTCAAGGGGATCATACGGAATAAATAAGACCATTTAGGTAATAAATACGAATTAACCAAATTAATTCTGCCCCACCAAGACAGTTCAGTTTGTCTCCATCTCTTTAAAGACTCATGTGTCGATCTAAATGTTTTCAAAAAATTTACTTGGAGCGTATCTTTAACATCATCAGTGAGAATTATACCCAGATACGTTAACAAATTTCTATTACAATTAAATTTATATTTATCTTTAATCTGTTGAATAGAATCTCTGGAAATATTTATTGCTAAAAAAGTGGATTTAGTTACATTTATTTTATAATTTGAGATCAGACTATATTTATCTATTTCTGCCATCAGTGCTTTAAGCGATTCAACAGGGTCGGTTAGGGTCAATATCAAATCATCTGCATATAGATTTAATTTAAGTTCTTTTTCTCTAAGTTTAAATCCTTTAATTTGAGGGTTATCTCTAATTTTAATGGCTAAGATCTCCATTGTCATTATATATAAAATCGGCGACAAAGGACAACCCTGTCTCGTACCATTTTTAAGTGTAAACCACTCTGCGCATATGTTTGGGGCCACTGTTCTTGCTTTAGGACCTTCATATAATGCCAAAATAGCATTTAGCATCCTTCCCTGAATTCCGAATTTTTCCATCGTTTTCCTTAAAAAATCCCAACCGACCCTGTCGAAAGCCTTCTCGGCATCGACCGCCAATACAAATAAAGGTTTATTACTTCTTCTAGATACATCTATCAGATCCAATAATCTTCTAGAGTTATCTACTGGATCTCTACCTTGTACAAAACCTATTTGATCATTTTTAATTATATTATCCATTAAACCTCTTAATCTATGAGCCAAAACTGAAGAAAAAATCTTAACATCTGTATTGATTAAGGAGATAGGTCTATAATTTTCTACCTTTAGAGGATCTTTGTTATCTTTAAGAATTGAAAGAATATTTGCACTCAACATTTCTGTAGGAAATTTACCAAGTGATACAATTTCGTTAAACATGTCTGTTAGGTGGGGTACAATAAGTTTTTTAAATGATTTATAAAATATATTTGCGAAACCATCTGGGCCTGGCGTCTTATCTAGTTTTAATTTGTTTATTACTACCTCTACTTCCTGAGCTGTAATTAAAGTATTTAGCTTATTAGTTTGTTCTATTGTAATCTTAGGAGTATTAATTTTACTCAGATAGTCCTCCTCGTTGGTTATCAAGGGAGTTAAATTATACAAAGCCTCATAATACTTATTAAATCTCTCCCCTATTTTTTGGGGTCCAGATATACCCCGTCTTCATCCTCTATCTTTACTATTTTATTAGATCCAATTTTATCTCTTAATTTTTTAGTCATAATTCTATCTGCTCGATTTCCCTTATAGTAGTAATTGGCTTTGAGTTTATTCCTAATTTTTACATTCTTTGCTATAAGAAAATTATTAATTCTATTCTGAATACTTTTTAGCTCGTCTGCATTTTCTTTAGAGGGAAACTGCTTGTTCTTGCTTGCAGCCTTTTTCAGTTCGTTTTGTAATACCATGAAAGATTTATTATTTGCTACTTTATATCTTGTTTGAATACTTATTATATTGCCTCTCATGGTAGATTTAAAAGCACACCAGTTATTTGTATATGAGGTATCTTTTGGATCATTTTCAAGAAAGAAGGTTACTATTTGTTTTTCCATTATATCAAGATTGATCTTAGATTTTAATAAATTATCATCCATGCGCCAGGTATCACGACCAATCCTGATCCACTGATTCTTCATCTCCCACATATTAATACTATGATCAGACCAAGTATTATCAAGTATCTTAAAATATTTAATATTCGTCAATGCGGTCATATTTCCCCAAACCATATCTATTCGGGAATACGAAAGATGTACCCGTGAAAAAAACGTATATTCCAATGAATTAGGATTGGTCGTTCTCCAAAGATCAAAATAATCAAAATTAATCATGTTTCTCTTAATAGATTTTGCCAATTTATCTGTTCTTTTTTGATGTAATAGTATTGAAGATGTCTTCTTATCTAATATCGGATCCAATACACTATTAAAGTCCCCAGCCACCAAACATGTGCCTATTTTGACAGATTCCATTAAAGTTAAGACCTTTTTTAAGGTTGGAGCAGGAAAGTCATTAGGCAGATATATATTAGTCAATGTATAAGGTATCTCATTCAATTTACAACAAACTATAACATATCTACCTTCCTTATCTTTAATTTGATGAATTATATCCACTTTTAATGAGTGGGAAAATACTATTGCTACTCCTCTTTTTTTTTCTCCACTTAAAGAAGCATGTATCATTATAGGGAATTTTGAACCACCCCAGCCCTGACTATCCATATCCAACCAGTGAGTCTCTTGAAAAAAGCCCACTTCCACTTTATTTCTTAACATATAATCATAGATTAAAGATTTTTTGGTTAAAGAATTAAGGTCTTGGACATTAACTGAAATCATCTTTACCATATTAAATCAAAACTCATTGTTTCCACTGACCCCAAGAGAGCTGCAATGCATTCACATACAACACAAAAGGTCCATTGAACATAGACCCACAAAAACCTTATGGGAAAAAACCCCAGTCTGGCCCAACACAGCCTGGCTCCCGAAAGGTTCCCTCTCGGCTTACCACTCCAGGACCATCTGTGTCCTCGTGAGATTGTGTTTGAATTCACCATATCACGGAATTTGTGTCAACAAAAGAGATGACACTTGGTGGGGCGGTATGAGGAGAGTAACCGAAAATCTTGTTCCTTATTTTTAAGAAGACTCTACCATCTCCTATAGTTGCACAGAGGAGAGAAAAAAAAACAAAAAACTTATTTACAACCTAGATTCCCTGATAGTTATGAATATATTATCACTGACAGTTTATGTGGTGCTATTATTTTAAAAGATCTATCCAATTGGTTATAGAATATCTACCATTCTTCTTAGATAACTTACTATTACCACCCAACCAGTTGTGTGTTTGTGTGACAATATTTACAAATCTATCTCTTAAGTATATCAAATCCTACCATGTGTTTTAATCCTATGATAATTATATATATTTTTTTTTTTTCGTGAATAATTTATCTTCCTACTGTATATAGATAATCTTCCGTGATTCTTATTTAAATTACCAGAATCTCCTAACACTTTATCAATTTCTGATGCAGTGTGTAAAAATTGCATCTCTTTACTGTGTTCAAACTATCTAATTTTATAAATTTACTCAATCTATTTACATATTTTCTCCTTTAAAGTATTAACACTTAACTTCCATCTTAACATGTGAAAAAATAAACCCACCATTGACTTATTATTAACACTTATTCCTAACCTTTTGCCTATCTCCATCCTTTACTTGTTAGCTATCTATCAACAGGAACATTTCATTGTCAGTAGCTCCACCTTTTTTTATTTTTAAAGAATATTATGGAATCAAAAAAATCCAAAAGTATGTACAAGACACTAAAGTAAAATTTTAAAGTACTTATATGTGTGTGTGCGCAAAAGGCACTCAGGCCATTTAAAAATTAATATATATATATATTTATTTTTTATTATTTATTTAGTTTTCTCTTCTGGGTTTTATCAGACTCTAGTCATGTGGGGATTTCTGGTCTGCGTCTTGTTTTGAACTATATTGTGAAACATTTAGCTCTAATCACGTTGGCTTCATTTGACAGTCTCTTTTTTTTTTTTTTTTTCTGCACAGATGGTCCCTAATATTTTTGTTTCTCCCCCTCCAATGCAGCATGTGCCCTGGTTGTGCTTGGATTGAACTGGATTGTGATATTAACTACTAAATCCTTAAGGAAAAACTGTTTGGTTTTGTAATAAGTTCATAAGTTTGCATGTAACGTAGCCTGTGTGTACAGGTGTAGACGGACTACAAGGGCAGATTGGTCATTGACCAAGAGCCAGAGCAGTCCGGATGAACAGCCATGCTCTGACTGGGGAAATCAGATTAGAGATCTCCCCAGCCAGAAAAACATAATCAAATAATTACAGGATTGTGTTGCAGGGCCCCTACAACCTACTACACTGTAAGTGCAAACAGCCCAATTCACACACGCAAACCCACAAGGAGCCTCACTGTATGCACACAATCTCACAAGCAGTTTCCCTGCATAGGAAAAACCACATACAGCCTCCATAGACACACCACTATTACAATTATTGCAGCGCTGTAGAATAGGTAAAACAAGACAAACTATTAATACTAACACATTGCCTCTTTAACAACGGATATATGCTTCGACACATGGACAAGGCGAGGGGTCCGTTGTGTGGGTTCCTTATATAACGAAGCGGGTATTAAACCATTCCCTGAGCTTCAGAAGTTATATTCTTTGCCATCACAGGAACTATTTACATACCTGCATATTAAACATATTATGAATACAGTACTACCCATAACACAAGACAGCGCACACAGACAACTTTATGTGCATAAGTGTATAGGGAAAATTCTACACATAAAAGCTCTATCTTTTTGCTACATTACCCTCATGACCTTAGGAGATGAGGATACTATAGCCTACATGCATTATTGGGAAAAGGACTTACCGTAGATAAGCAGCTCCTGACGGAAACCTGGTATAAGGCATTAAAAACTACTGGCACATTGGGAGGCATTCTGTAAATTAAATATGAGATGGTACCTTCTAAACTAGCCCGAATATACCCTGGAATGCCTGCAGAATGTTGGAGATGCCAGATCAAAACAGGCACCCTTCAACATATTTTCTGGGATTGTCCAAAAACTACTCCACTATGGTACGCATTGGAAATGATTTTTATAGAAGCTCTGAAGGTTGATATCCTGAGTCATCCAGAAATCTATTTCCTACACATGTTCCCAACCATGCTCCCTGAGGAAGTGTTAACAATAATTATACATTGTCTAATAGTAACTAAAATGGCCATCGCATACAGATGGAAGCAACCTCAACTCCCCACGTTAATAGAAGTTATGATCCGCCTTGATGCCTTGATTCATCGAGTAATTATGAGAAGATGGCAAGCCGCCTTATAGGAAATGAAGACAAGTACATAAAGAAATGGCAGAGATGGTTCAAAGTTAGGAATCTGTATCTGTAGGATGTATAATATAATAACTAAATATTTTTCCACTGGTTAGCATATGTTAACCTAAGGAACATTGGCACTTTGCGGTAACAGTTTAAGGAACAATGCATCATGCAAACATGGTATACCTTGATATTGAACTACATCTAAATTAAAGGAAACAATCTAGTTTGTGTTTTGGCTTATCTCATAAGATGAAAAGGTAATAAATAAATATATATTTGGCCGCTTAATATAGGCTGCTACCTTCCCCCCCATCCCTCCCCCACATCTATACTTCTTTATAAGTTTGTTTTAAGTTGTGTATTATGTTTGTCAACGCAGAAGCGTAATGCTCAAGCCCTACAAGTAAATTAAATCACTAATTAGATCAGAAAGAATGAGCCTATATAAGAAAAGTTTTAAGCAAAGGGACTCATACAGGTAATGTGACGGTAATAAATGTCTATTGTGGACACACTGTAACTAAGATAAGGTCACTAAAACTGATATCAGAGGTATATTTTAATTGAAATGCTTTATGCTGAGTGATCCGTAGGAGCTACATATAGGTAGATGACATACCCCACATGAAGATCGCGTTCTACAGGTAGATTATATTTTTGAATCTAAGAAGGGTAATATGTTTTTTGTTTTTTTAATATAGCTGCTTATACTATGTGTGCATCATTTCTAAGGATCAAGCTTACTACGTGATTACTTGACTGCGCTCATGTGTAAATTTTTGTCTCGTGACTGCGTTCACATTTTACTTTGTCTTAATGCATAATTGAATAAATATAAATAAAAATTATATATGGGAAAAAAAATACTAACACGTTGACATACAGGTACACAAGATCACTTGCCGCATCCTACACACACACCACCACATGTGTTTGGAGGATACTTGTATGGTTGCACATGTGGAGGACGCTACTTGTGATATCATTAGCAAACAGTGGAAGCCTGTAATTACATTTGCTTTATTTTAGAGGAGAGGGGAAATGTACCAGCAAGGGTTACTCTATTTAGAAACAGTATTATTAAAACTTTTGGTTGCATTAACCCCTTAAAAGTAAATCTGATCCTGTTTGGGGGCCATGCAGGTGTAGTAGTCATGATATAGTCATAATATGTGCGAGAGCTGCACAAAGAAGGGGGAGAAAAGTAGCGGCAATAAAAAAAAATCTTGCACTTTGAAGAGGGGCCCTTGATCTCCTGTTTCCCAAGGGCCCTGTGAATTGTCAGTCCGTCCCTGTCTGTGTGTATAGGACTTTCCCTTGCATTGGGGTGGCAGCCAAATTTAATCATCTTTTTAGTTAGAAGTACTACTTCTCTATTATGGAAATTCACAATTTGAACGAGTTAGCTCATCATAGAGTAAATCTTTGGCTCATGATTTCAGGATCCATGAACATATTCACTAGCTCCTGATTGCCAATATGGTCTTTGGTTGGATAAGCAGAGCTTTACCCAAAGTATTTAAGGTGGTAGACTCCACAGAGCAATGCTAAGCCAGGAGTCACACTGAAAAGAAGTATGTATTGATACACATGCACTACAGAATAGGGATCGACCGATTATCGGTCTGGACGATATTTGGTATTTTCGGCAATATCGGTATCTGCCTATAGAGAGACCAATATTGCAGATAATACAGACCAGGACCGCCGGGCCCATGACAAGCATGAAAGGCCCGCAGCAAGCTCTTACTTATCGTCCCAGCAGCTCCCCTGTCTGAATCTCTGGAGTCCCGCGGCCTTAAGAGCAGGGCAGCTGAACAGAGCTTCTGGGAAGTTAAGTAAAAGCTTGCTGTGGGCCCCCACAGCACAATCCTTGCCACCGGACCATTTGGGAATGCCATAGCCCCCCTCCCTATTCACTATGCACACTACATTCACTTTACGCACACATTGCATTCACTACACACACCACACACACACACACTCTGCATTCATTATATACACACTACACAAACACTCAGCATTCACTATACACACACATTCTGCATTCATATTTTATATATATATATATATATATATATATATATATACACATACACACCCACACACTGCATTCACTTTACCAGCACACTATACACACACTGCATTCACCACACACACACTCTGCATGCATTATATATATACACACACACTGCACACACTGCATTCACTTTATGCACGCACACAGTGCATCCACTTTACACACGCTACATTCATTATATACACACACATTACACAAACACACTGCATTCACTATACACACTGCATTCACTTTACGCACACTACACACACTGCATTCACTTTACGCACACAATAAACACACTGCATTTACTTTACACTACACACACACTCATACACAGCATTCATTATATACACGCTGCATTCACTTTACGCACACTACACACACACTGCATTCACTTTACGCACACTATACACACACAGTGCATTTACTTTACACTACACACACACACACTCATACACAGCATTCATTATATATACACGCTGCATTCACTTTACGCACACAACACACACACTGCATTCACATTACACACACCTTATGCTACATTCACTATACACACACTACACAAACACACTCTGCATTCATTATATACACCCTACACAAACACTCACTGCATTCACTATACACACACTACACAAACTCTGCATCCACTACACACACACACACACGCAGCACAATCAAATACCCTCACTGCTTCCACTACACACACACACATATTATTGAAAAACATAAACAATTCGGACTGGCATGTATATTTTGTGAATTTACCTTACTAAAAAAAAAAAAGATTTGCAAATAAATAAATAATGAACATGTTTAGTTAAAGGACCACTATAGTGCCCTGAAGGTGCCCCCACCCTCAGGGTCCCCCTCCCGCCGGGCTCTAGGGGGTGGAAGGGGCTAAACTTACCTCTTTCTCCAGCGCCGGGCGGGGGACTCTCCACCTCCTCCTGACTGAATGCGCATGCGCGGCAAGAGCCGCACGCGCATTCAGCCAGTCCAAAGAAAAGCATTCTCAATGCTTTCCTATGGACGCTGGCATCTTCTCACAGTGAGACGCGCGGAAGCGCCTCTAGCGGCTGTCTATGAGACAGCCACTAGAGGCTGGATTAACCCTATTATAAACATAGCAGTTACTCTGAAACTATATTTATAGAAAAAAGGGTTAAACCTAGCTGGACCAGGCACCCAGACCACTTAATTAAGCTGAAGTGGTCTGGGTGCCTATAGTGGTCCTTTAACAGTAGATTTGTGTAGAAATAGTTTATTTTTTCAAAATGGTAAATGTACAGAATATCTGTAAACTATCGGCCTGAAAATTCACAGATTATATGTATCGGTATCTGCTCTAAAAAAAAAAAAATCAATATCGGTTGATCCCTACTGCAGAATACTCAGGCAAAAATACATGTGAAGTTTCATTATAAATGACAAAAGATCAGATTTTTTTTTCTATTAATATTTGGGGGAAAAACAAAAGGGTCACCTGACAAAATAAGATGAAGACGTAGGTGATTTTCAGTGTTTTATTCAATAGTATAATTTACAGATATGTGATGCTCTCTGTTAAAGTAACTAAATGTAATTACCCATGCATGTAATATTGTTTGTGTATTTAAAAAAAAAAAAATGCATCTGGTGTCTTTCTCTCGTTTCTGTAGCAAGCATTAAGGCAAAGGAACAGGCTGCTCTTTCTGGTAAGCTGAGGGTATGCTGTCCTCATGTTGATGACCTGCAGTACACAATATGTGGTGTTTTGGACTAATTAAAGGAGCAGTAATGGCTAAATAGAAAGTGGCGTGTATAACTAACCACTTTATATTTACAAAAGCTATGAAAGTATTTAATTTTTCTCCCTGCAAGTTTATTCGGGCGGACCTGTCATGGGTGGTGCTATGGAATATTACATTGTTTTGAAAATGTTAAAAATAAAATTAAAAAAAATCCTTACCAGTTTGCAGCTTTAATACTACACGAGCTAAATATGTAAGATGCATCTTTCTGATCTATCCCTCACATCTTTTTTGAAAATAATTTCAGAGAGGATAATCTGAAAATTCAGTGCTAGCCTCATTACCTAGCACAGCACAATTTGAATACAGAAAAACACTGAAGTGCCCAATTTTTCAGTGTGCCCATGTTGCGCTTGTATAGTTTGATGTAATCTGACTAATTAAAGTGTAGAGAGAGAGGCCAAAAAAAGATACTTATTTGCATTGTTTGCCTCCCTCCCCTGTCTGTAGAACTAGATTTAATAAAAAAATAAAAATAAAAAAAAACACACACAAAACATACTTTTTAATTATTTATTACAAAATTCAATAATATCAACCATTAGAGGTCCATATTAATTATATAGTTGTTGGTAAAATGTTAGCCGCGTTTATTCTAGTATCATGAAGCTATGGTAAATATGACCCATATATTGAAGCAAACAGAAATAGCTTACAGTAGCTAAGTGCTGCTGTAGAAGATCACGTGCCTTGCAATAAAGCTTGTTACCATATTTGGTTGTCTAGAGTGACTAATCATGATTGTGAGCCTTGGGCGAAACATATATTGTTGAAGATATATAGATGCCATGGATGTTCATGTTTTATATGTAACATTAAAAACCACAGTGGCAGTTTAAAGAGGAGGCAGGATTTGTGTAGTTTTCCTGTCTTCACTTTTGTTCTGCCAAGTGTTGTGATTTTAAAAGAAAACACTGCTCCATAATTATGTCTCAACAGATAACGAGTTAGAGCGCCTTCTGAATAGGGTCCGTGAAGTAGCTCAGAAAGATGGAGGTGCCTGGCTGACTGAGATCTTAGATGGTGCCAAAACTAGTCAAAAGGGACCCGATATATGTGACACTACTATGAAGGAGCAAGAAGTGATGAGGGAGAAGGACTGTTCAAATTTGGAGTCAATTTCTGAACCAAGTCAAGGCCAAATAACATTGGACCAGCAAGATCATTCTCCGACTCTGGCTACCAAGAGAAAGCATTCTCCATGCCGAGGCACAGATGCTAAACGCATTGCCTTAGTTGAAACAGAGTCATTGGATGGTACTTCCCAGGAGGGGGAAATTGAACAAGCTGCAGGCTCATTAAGTGCCATCCTGGAGAGTGCTGAGGATGCCACATCATCTGTAAAAGATGGTCTCCGGTGTGTAAGTCCAAGTGCCACTTCACTAGCACTAATTGAGTGTTCTGATGTGTCTACAGTTACATCCACAGAATGTGATCTGGAAGAGCAGGTCCGTGTTTTCCCCTTCAATGAAGATGACTCTGCACATCATGCTGCAGAAGTAACACAGAAGACTGAATTAGTACAGGGTGTATCTGGAACCGGATCTCCCACTTTGAAAGAAACCTCTTCCTTAGAGGAGAAGCCACTGGTTCAGGTGCCACGCAAGGAGGGAAGTTTAAATTGTCCTCCGGTTTCTGTGTATATTGTTGGGGACTCCATTGTATGTGATGCACAGATACATGCTGAGGAGCAGTCATATGGAACAAATTTAGGGTTTTATCCAGAGGTTGCTAATGTTCATTGGCAGGGGACAAAAAATCTCTTGGGAACTGACATATTGACTGAATGTGTGAAGATTCATAAGGTAGTTGGTCCAGTTGTCCTCTTGGTTCATGCAGGGGGTAATGATCTGGGTAATATAAGTGCAGTGAATATAATTTCCTTCTTAAAGAATGCTCTGTCTGAATGTTTGTCCATGCACCCTAACTTAGTTTTAGTTTGGTCTGAAATAATTCCCAGTCAGGAATGGCCTGATAGCCGGTGTAAAAAAGCCATGGAGAGGTGTCGGAGAAAGGTTAATATGAATGTGTCAAGGCATGTAACTACAGTTGGTGGGCTTGTTATACGGCATCGAGATTTAGAATGTGAGAATGCTGCTTTTCTTCAAGAAGATGGTATTCACCTGAATGGATGTGGGCTTGACATCTTGAACTTAGGTTTCCAGACAATTATTGAAAAAGCAATCACATTATTGATGGAGAGATTGAAGTAAGATAGCAGGGTGCTGTAATAGCAGTGTTTTTTTTTTTCAGTTTCACACAAACTTATGCTTTTCCTAAACACCGGTTAAGAGGTTGGTGTGTTGCTGGCATCCATGACTGTTGGTATGGAACAAATTCTAATTGCTAAGGTGGTTTTAGTGCCTACAAGGCTTAGGGCTTGTAGTTGGCACTTCAAGTTTGGTTATATTTTTGTGACAGAAGAAGAATATCTGCCCTACCAAGATTGCATCTCAGAAGTTGTTTTTATAATCTTTTGTGAGGGGGGGGGAATGGGGTTCGTTTTTTTTGTTTTGTTTAATTTTTTGTGTGTTAATTGATTGAACATCCAGTTTTCAGGGATTGTCTTTACAGATCAGGTAGCCAGATGTATAATGTTTTCAACTGTGTCTTCTTAAAGCATTTGTTTTGTTTGTCTATTTTTATGTACAATGCAAGGCTAAGACTTTTTGGCAAAATAAAGGTAACTTACCAAATATAAGTTGACCAATTTGATTTACTTTCACTTCACAAAACACTGTAATGACAATAAATCTACGTATGAATGATCATATGTTTTCAGTTTGCACTCCTAATGCAGGTTATGTATGAGACCAATCTTAGGGTGAAAGTACTAAAGTGTAGCAATCTGCAGGATCATTACACTGGTTCCCTTGGTGGAGGCAATTCCACATTTATCACATACCCTCAGTATTGCTCTATATACACCTTGCCCCTTGTTGTATGATTATATAATGTACATATAATTATGTATTTTGATAGCAAAATAAGGCAGATCCTTTCTGTAAATTATTTTCTGATCTTGCTTCAGAAATCATCGCAAGTTGTTGCTCTTTTTTAAATCATTACGATTCCAAAGTTAGCAGTGAGTGGGTTTGTATGTTCAAGGAAGGGTTTGAGGAGTCAATAACGGGCTCTATCTATTGCATTGTTAATAATATTGGTTAATGTTTGAGGCTCTAGCGCTCACATTTCTGCATGGATATTCTCCTTGAGCTGCTCAAGTGTTACGCGTTTTTTCACGTACACCAGCTTCTTCAGATATCCCCACAGAAAGTAATGGGAAGCTGAACGGTCTGGTGAACATGATGGCCAGGTAATCTGGGAATTTGAGATTATCCACTCACCGAACAGTTGTCATTTTGAAAATATAATTACACTATTTCAGCTTGTTGATTTGTGAAATGACCAATTATGAATCTTTGAAGACTCTGTTATAATATGTACCTGCAATAAAAAGAAAAGTATCTACTAATGGACCAAGTTATTTATCTGTCAAATCCTACTCTGAATTTTAGCCAATCCTGTATATCCCGACAAAGTGCACTCATTGTCTCTCCACAAATTAAATGTGCCACAGTGTGAAACTCCCAGGTCAGAACAGCAGTAGTTGGGGTGTACTCAGTGGATTTACACTGATAATCTTCAAATAATCTTTATCCACATAAATACAAGGTCAATGTTTTACTCCTTTTATCATGACAATGTGTACAGAAATAGCTGTTTTAATAGCACCGGGAAAGCAACACTGACAGAGGGATTATGCGAGACAGTAATCAGGGAAACCAGCAAACTAATATTACTTAAATGGTTCTTTCTATACACACTGTCCTGATGAAATTCCACTTGAGGTCTGAAATGTTGGTCTTGTGTTTATGCGAACAGCTTATTTAAAGATTGAGTATATGTCAATGCAGTGCAGTTAATCTACTACTGTGTGTGTTACTATCTCCCTTGCTATCTCCCAGGATAAATTTCACTATATCAGATCATTCACACTACCTTGTAGTGAAATTTGAAACATGGTTTTGGGTTCAGGGTTGGAGTTGCTTTGTTTTTAAATAAAAGTTGAATAAAACTAGCTCAATTTTGATTGGCATTATAAAACCACCTGAGCAAATAATCAGTTAATGTTCAGCTCACTTCTCTCAAACCTGTCTCTTTTGTAAAGGATGCTGTACATGTGATGTGATATGACTATCAAAGCTGGTGTTCCATGTTGAAAATCTAGTATGCAGCAGTGATTCCTGACATTGTTCATTAGTAGAACCAAAGATGTCAAAATGTGCTGTAGAATGTTGTATTATTGTTCCTATACAATGCTGGACAAAACCCTACATGTAGAATACTCACATATGTTACAATACCGTTTGTTAGGAAATTGGGGGTTCAACTGTTCAAAATCAAATTGAACACCATGATTTTGAATGTAATCAATATCATCAAATACATCTGCTGTGTCTTATTTTCATACTTAGAGGAACACTGTACGATCAGAAATACAAATGTGTATTCCTGACCCTATATTCAAAATACACGTTTTACGCAAACTTTCATCAGGACATCATTTCCCAAGCAGCAGCTGCCGTCATTTATTCAACTTTTCTCCTTATATTACTATACTGAAAGAGGGGCTGGGGTGACCAAGGCAGTACAATCTTGGATGAAGGACAGCAATTGCTGCCCAGGAGTGAATGCCTACCAATCTCAGACAGTCTATAGAATGTATGGCCCTGTGCTGTCGCTCCAGCTATAGCAATGTAACTCCCAACTCTGGCATCCCGAGAAGCAGGACTCCTGTGAAAGAGGTGGGCATCACTGACTCTGCCCCCAAAGGGGGTGAGCCTGGCCAATTTACCAGCAGGCCAGCCTGGTGTGCATTATTATTATTTTTGGCGTTTATATAGCAACAATCGATTCCTTATCGCTTTACAATATTGTAAGAGGGGGGTATTTAACTATAAGTAGGACAATTACAAAAGAAAACTTACAAGAATGATAGGTTGAAGAGGACCCTGCTCAAATGAACTTGCAGTCTATGGGATACACGCCTTTCCATCATTGGGGGGTCTGTCCAGTCTTGAACTGAATTGTGTGTGGTGTAGCGAAGTGGAAGAGAAAAAGTGATTAAGGGGTATCCAATGGAGGGGCTAGGAAGTTGAAGGTGAACCGGGTGTTATTGGTCCTATGTTTTCCATATTTTCTGAAATTTGTGCCAGGAGCCTAAAACCATGTTGCAAATCTCTGTAATGAGTGGTTTGTGGAGTGTCAGAGATTGGTCGTGGCGAAGTCCTCTATGGAGACTCCTAATGTTTGGCTAAATTCGTTTTTGTTGCAACTAGAATATGTAAGATCACATGTTTATCCCATGTGTTTAGATAATTGGGAGCATGTCTAGTAAGAAAACTTGAGGGACCCAGGGAAACGTATGCTCTGTGACTTCTGCACTGAGCATTTGGACTGTCTTCCAATATGTGGAGGTTTTTATCACCACTCGAAAGATGTGGAGAGATGCAGAAGTGTTCCAATGGATGACTTACACTTACAGCAGATATATCTGAGATAAGCTAGTGGGTGCCATGTAACAGCAAAAGATACGTTTTCTGTTTGTCTCCCAATGAGAGAGGCGTTTGGAGACTCCGCTGAAATTGTTGCTGCATTGTGCCATTCTTCAGGTGAGAAGGTTGGAAAACCGACATGTGGCATATGTTTTTCAATAATCTTTTGTGAAATATATTCTCTCAATGTAAGTATCAATATCTATAGACATGTTTCCAAAACAAGAATGTGCATACATGTCAGAAATTGATAAATTACCAATTTATATAATGAGTAATAGGAGCCAATCCTAGTATTGCTGAGAAGAATGTGTATTTTCTGCAGTCAACATTTGTTTGCTTTGATACCTTCAACAACAGTTTTATTAACAAGAAGCTCGGACATTTAATTAGATGTCATCTTTATCAAGCAGTTCCGGAACAGGTGTAATGTAAAGCATAGATGCAAAAGACCTTTCTCTTCTGTATGCATCTAGACTGCTCCTACCAGGAACTGCATATCTGCTTTACTTAAGCACTTTACTAAATCTGTCCTGTCCCCTTTGTGGAAGAAAAGGCTTTATTAGAATTTTAATGATCAGGTCTGCTAACCAGGTAAGAATGATGCAATATATGCGCAAAACAACATATCAAAACTTACACTAAAAAGAAATAAATATGCATGTGCAAATGCCATCCATGCTATCTAATGAATTACAACGCATGTACTGTAGCGGACCACAGGTAACCCGACCGCCTACCTCCGCTGATTCCCTTCCTTCAGCCGATCAGGAACCATTTATATTACAAAGAGACCCATCTCCCCCCACAGTAACTGTGGACGACACACAGTCCTGGAGGTACAACACACTTTTATTGGCCACACACTGCTTTTATGCATAACTCCGTGCAAGGGGTTGACCACACACATACAATGACCCACCCCAAGATCTTCCCCCCTCCCTGGGGTCCCAGCGCGGGAAGCGACTCCGTTCCCTTTGTCCCCAAAGCCCGCCACTAAATCCCCAGGGTTCCCAACACCAACCACCAGCCTCTGTGCCTGAGAGTCTAGGCGCGGGAAAAAGGGATTGTCCATTTGTCTCCCAGGCAGAGGCCTAGCTCGCGGAAAAAGAGCTGGTCTCTTTGTCCCTCTGGCTCATGAGAGCCTGCCAAACTAGCCAGTTCCCCAGAAGTGCCCACACCAATCTCTGGAATCCTCGCCTTTGTCCCTCTGGGATGCTTGCCTCGGTCTCCGTTCACGAGTTCCTGGTGTGAAACCCAGACAGGAGAAGTGACTCCTTTTGGGGTACGAATGCTCCTCCTGGCTGGCGTTCGAGTGTACGAATGGCGGCCACCGAGGGGAGCACTCTTTAATTAATTCCCGTGCGGTTTCACACCTAGGTTGCAGGTGCGAGCATTCTGACTAATTGGTGTGAACGTTCTAATGGGGCACTGGGGAGGTTCTCGTTCGGGAATTGTTTCCCTTGTGGTTTGATACTTATGTGGCGAGGTGTGAAGGTTCTAAACTAACATTTTAAATGGGGGTATCAAGGTGGTCCCCGTACGGGAGGTGAATTAATTCTCTTTGTGGAGGCATTCCCGAACAGGGAGCGGCCACAGTACACGAAAGGATGGGGAGAACATACATAATAAAAAGAGGGGCAATTCACAGACTG